AAAAAAAAAAAAAAAAAGTAAACATAGGGCCAGCAGGTGGTGTAGTGGATAAGGCGCTGGGCTCCCACATGGCCGATCAGGGTTAAAGTCCCAGACCTGGCGGCGTTCTTTCGCACTTTCCCTCTCCCTCCTCTGGTCAAATTAAAAAGTGATAGCAATAAGCAAAATTAAATAAATAATTATTTCTAAAGTGAACATATGTCCTTAATATTTACTAACATTTTAAATAATTTAAACAACCTTTCACAAAACTCCCTTAGTTTTCTTCCAGAGCTTCTAGAGGCAAGTTAATAAATCATACTGAGCTATTAGAGTAAAAAGAGACTACAAATCTAGGGTATTTGAAAATCCACTTCTGTGCTTAAGAAATACTACATCATTCTTATACATAATACTCTAGTCAAAAATGAACATTGGGCCCCATCTACACTACAACACAATTACCTGCTCAGGTCCGTATTCCCGCCTCAGTTACCCACAGCATCAAGGACTGAAGGGTAACAGTCTATGCATCCGGGCAAAGCAAGTCGACATTACAGAAACCAATGCAGACTTGCCATCAAGTCTTCTAATCACATGAGCTACCTAACGGCATAGCAAGATATACCAAGATAAAAAGTGCAAAATGAAAACTCGTCTCTTCCCTCTTGACACATCCCAAACACTTACAAAGTTAACAGAGAGAGTTCCTTTCCGTTGTCTCATTTGCATGTTGAAAGCATCTGACCTGTTGGTAACTTTTCTTCTTCGGGTGGCCTCATCTTAAAATCAAAAGTCATATAAAAAGCATTAGTAAAAACTAATGTTCAGAGTTTAATATGAATCAGATAACATGTAAAGTTATTTAAATTAGTCAAAATCTCAGAACCCTATGAGGTTAGTATTATCTCCCACTGAAGGTAAAACCTGACACATAGAGAAGTTGGGTAAATTACTCAGTGTCACACACAGTCAATCGACGGCAGACTCGGGGTCCGACTCCAGGCAATCCAGCTCTGGAGCTCAACCATGAATGCCACAGAGCCTGTGTGCAGCACTAACCACCTCACGCCTGTATGTACTGTTCATGGGTACTCTGGCTTCTTAAGGCAGTCTCACCATGTAGTGACCCTCTTGCCTAGTCTTCCTGCTGCGACTACAGGTGCACACCACCACGACTGGTTTTTTTCAGACAGGGTCTCACTATGTTACCCAGGACTACCTGGAGTTCACAATCCTCCTGCCACAGCCTCCCAGAGTCACTGGGAATAGGGTACACACCACCGCCCCAGACTTCAGGTTGGACCCAGCATGTAACCCAGGCCTGTCGTGGCCCCAGCCTGCTGGGCACAGCATCTGCAGTGATCCCACAGACTACGTACCATTTCTGAGACAATAGTCAGCCAATAAATAAAAGCTTTAAGACCACTACAAACTAATAATTATAAAAATGACAAAGATAAAGTACTTAATTCTTAAAAGGCTGGTAATAATTAGCATCATGGATTTATTAAGTCCTAATATACTGAACATTTTGAGAGTGATGAACAATATCATTTGATCCTCTGGAGTTCAGTCCACGATCTGAATTGCATGTCTTAACTACCATATCGTAAAATGTGTAATATGATTTGTTACCACAGCATTCCTTTAAGTTCTTACAAACACAGACAATACAGATCCAGATTAATCTTTATTACTGAGTTTTAAAACTAATGTGTTCATTAGGGAGATAATGGAACTTACTCTCTGCATTAGCAATTCTATTCATAATTAAGTTTCAAAAATATGAAGCTGAGTACTAAGCTTTCTGACGAAACGTAATTTATTTATGTTGACAATTTGTAAGTTCTAAGCTTCCCCCAGTCTATGTTAGTACTAGAGATCAGAGAATCCCCTATTTCTCTCTGAACTTAGGAGTGACAAACTCTAGATCTCTAGGTGGGGACCATTATTTCCACCATTCTCACGTAAACTGGCCTTTAGAAACTGTAATAAATTTCTATGTCACAGACTAGACAAGGAAAATTCTTTCCTCCAAAATCATAAAAATTCAACATAATATGGTTCCTTACCCCTTCAACTTCAGGTATCTGCTGTTAAAAAGGGTGATCTACCTAGAAACTTACACAAGTTTACAATTCAAATAGTAATTAAAATTTTTTATGATAGTATTTCACCTTATTTCTTTTCATGAGGAAGTAACAGTTACCTTCTTTATCTTTTGCTCCCACTGCCAGGCCCACAACCTTGGGCCCAGCCCCAAAAATTTGAAGTTTCTTCAGCTCCGTGTTTCTATTCACCTCTCCAGATTCTGACTACAAAATAACAAATAAAACTCACATTAGCATATTGCCCTGATTCACGATTCCTTTTCTTAGGACTCTGCTGTGTCTCCATGTCCCTCCATGTCCCCAGTCTTCCAGCTCAGTCTAAAGTCACACTTCACCACACCTGGCTCTCTCAGACAGCGTCTCCCTGTGCTGCCTGCGCCAGCCTCAAGCTCTCAATCCTTCTCGGCTCCCTAACCTCTCAAATTCTAAGTGCACACCAGTATACCCGCCCCTCAGCCTCCCGTGAATACCACCTCTTAGCAACACGTGCCACTGCTACCAGGTCTAGGCAATCATTCTCTCAGCCAAGAGAAGTTTCAAGATTCTCTTCAAAATGAAGAGAAAAAACTATTTTATTTCTTCTCTGTAAATCTACTCATTGCATCTTCACAACATTTGAAAATAGACAAAAATCACTATGCAACACCGAGATTCCTCTCCACAAAATAAAATTTGTCTATGTCTCATAAAATCGTAGTTGCCAATTTGCAGAAGCAAATTTGCAGGGATTCCTACTTCTGGGGCCGGCAGGTGGCATGGTGGTTAAAGGCGCTGGACTCCTGGGACCAGCAGTTAGCGTAATGGCTATGTCGCTGGACTCCCATATAGTTGACCGCAGTTCGAGTCCTGGACCCGGTGGCTTAAACTCACACCGGGCAGGTGTGTGTGTGTGCCCAAGATCCCGAGAGGAGAATGGAGGAGAAGGGATTGAAGCGTGGCCATCCCCTCTGGGGGGTGATTTCTCGCTTTCTGTCTCTCTGTCTCTGTCTTTCTGGCGAGCGCAAGCGCCCTATAGCAAAAACCACTCCAAAAAAAAAAAAAGGCGCTGGACTCCCATATGGCTGACCTTGGTTCAAGTCCTGGACCTGGTGGCTTGCCTTCTCTCTCTCTCTCTCTCTCTCTCTCTCTCATCAAACTGGAAAATAAGAAGAAATAAAGTTAAATAAAATCATTCTTAAAAAAAAAATTCCCACTTCTAACCTGCTAATGGACAACCTTAAGAGGGCAGTATGTTCATCTCAGGGATGAACTGTGACTGTACTAAGCCAATTTCCAAATCCATCTCTTTACAGGTAATGACCTAACTAGGGGTAAAAATGGGATCTAGTTCTAGCCAAAAAGACGTAGAGAAAGTTTATGGGAAACTTCCTGGAAATATTTCACCTTCTAAGTTTTGTTTGTTTTTCACTGTGGTAGAAGATATGTGTTCCGGGGTGGGGTGGGGTGGGGTGGGGGGGGCCCCATGGGAGACTGGCTTTGCCACAATTCCTGCTCCACTCTCTCCTTCCAGGATTTTGGGCAAGTACTGAAGTGTGCTCAGCATGGTTCTCAAGCCTCCAGGTCTGGGACTTGAACTGCACACTTGGACTATAGGATCCAGCCACCTTAGTCACTATGCCACAAACTGGCCTTTCATCTTCTAATAAAAGGGAAAGCAGGACCAGCAGTTGGCATAATGGCTATGTAGCTGGACTCCCACATAGTCAATCATGGTTTGAGTCCCAGACCCGGTGGCTTAAACTCACACTGGGCGTGTGCATGTGTGTGCCCAAGATCCCAAGAGGAGAATGGAGAAGGGACTGCGGCGTGGCTGTCCCCCCTGAGGGGTCATTTCTCGCTTTCTGTCTCTCTGTTTCTGTAGGGCACGCTCCCTAGAGCAAAAACCTCTCCAAAAAATAAATAAATAAATACTAGGGAAAGCTTAGGGACCAGCAGATGGTGTAGTGGTTGTGTTGCTAAATTCCCACATGGTCAACTGCAGTTTAAGTCCCAGACCCAGCAGCTTGAAACTCATATCAGGTATGTATGTGCGTGAGTTCCCAAAATCCCAAGAGAAGAGACTAGAGACGGGATTGCAGTGTGGTCACCACCCTGGGGGTAATTTCTTACTTTCTGTCTCTCTGGTGAGCCAATGTGCCCTATAAGAAAAATGTCTCTTTAAAAATGGGTGGGGCAGCACGCGGCATGGTGGTTAAGGGCGCTGAATTCCCATGTGGCCAACCCTGGTTCGAGTTCTGAACCTGGCGGCTTGCTTTCTGACCTTCTCTCTGTCTCTCTCTCTCTCTCTGTCCCCCTCTGGTCAAATTAAAACATAAATAAGCAAATAAAGTTAAATAAAATAATTATTGAAAAAAAAGGGGAAAGCTTATTAGGAAGTAAGTCTTCGGTTACTCCATAGCACAGCAGCTATGTGCTGCTCCAGAGAGGCCAGATCCAACCAACCCTCAGCCCAGTTGGCTGAGAACATGCCCGGAACACGTGCACCAGTGCTCAAGACTGGACGGGCTGGAGGGCTGGAGGGAGGGACAGTGGCATCTACAGACGGCAGGCAGTGTTCGTCCCTCACTCTGCCGTCCCTGTGTAGGCACACATGTGCTCTGTTATGAATACAGACAGAGTAAAAGGTGAATTGTTTCCCCCAAACTCCCTCCTCCCTGCTAAGGAACTCAGTCTGGTGAAAATAAGATGCTAGACTCCGCAGCAGCCAGTCACACGACAATTAAAAGGGGATTTGGATTTATCAGGGCCAGGAGGTGGCATGGTGACATTGGACTCCGACTCTCACATGGCTGACAATGGTTCAAAGTCAGACCTGATGGCTTGCTTTCTCACTTTCCCTTTTTCTCTGGTGAGCATGCGTGCCCCTATACCAAATTTTTAAGTAACAACAATAATTAAGATAAATAATCGTTTTTAAAAGGCAGGGATTTATTACCCACACTCTAAAGAAAGCAGGGCAGAAGAATGGGAAGAGCCTGCGTGCTCAGTGACGATGTGAAGGTGCCATACTGGTCCTAGAGCTGACTATGGATGAAGACCTTATTTGAAAATGTGGCTTTACATAAAATCTGCTAATGTTTAAGCTACTGTCGTCTGGAATTCTTCTCTTTGAAGGTGACAAAGGTCAGTGTTACACCTTTTTTAAGCACACAGGACATGTGTGCTTGCCCAAGAGTAGAGAGAGAAAGGGAAAGTGAGAAATCACCCCTCAGGGTAGACAACCACACCATGATCCCTTCTCCTCCGTTCTCTTCTTGGGATTCTGGGCACACACACGTGCCAGGTGTGATTTTCAACCCACGGTGTCTGGGACGTAAACCACAGTTGGCCATGTGGGAATCCACCTTAACCACCAGTGCATCTGCTGGCTCTCAAGGTTAAATCCTAAGCTGAGGTGAACCATGATCTCTGAATACAGGCAAAGTAAATAGAGACAATGTATTTTAAATGTGTCAACGAAACAAACAGTAAGAATAAAACAAATCAGAACAAAACACAGACTACTTTCTAAGTCCATGGCAAAAAATGCTATATAATACCCAGATAGTAAAATATCATACAAGGACAAAACTAGGCCCAGCCACAGCAGCCACAATGGTTAAAACTGCTATTTGGCAGGCTGAGGCTGAATGGGTTCAATTCCTGGCCCAACCTAAAAGCTAGGCATGGTGGTATATGTGCCTATAGCCCCAAGTCCACTACTTAAAAGTTAAGGGAGGAGGGTCCTGAGTTCGTGACCAGCATAATGAGACCCTGTCTGAAAAAGCTGGAGAGTGTGAGCCTGTGTGCCTAGTTTCTCAGGAATCCAAGGTAGGATTGCAACATAGGAAGACCCTGTCTAAAAGGCAAAAAATAAAACCAACCAACATGGCATTTCACAACTGCTCTCAACTTCTGTAGACTGACCTGGTTATTATGCGTTAGCAACCAACCTCTATGATTAGTCCAATGACAACCACAGTGCTCCACATTCTTTTTGTTGTTCTGGAGAGGTTTTTGCTATAGGGGCGTGTGCGCTCGCCAGAAAGACAGAGACAGACAGAGAGACAGAAAGTGAGAAGTCACCCCCCCCAGAGGGGATGGCCACGCCGCAATCCCTTCTCCTCCATTCTCCTCTCAGGATCTTGGGCACACACCCATACACATCTGGCATGAGTTTAAGCCACCAGGTCCGGGACTCGAACCACAGTCGACTACATGGGAGTTCAGTGATATAGCCATTATGCTAACTGCTGACCCCTATTAATATTATTTTTGAATTTGCTTCAGCGCCAAAGACGGACAGGGGTGGGAATAAGCAAGTCAACAGGTCTGGAACTTGAACCGTAATCAGCTAGGTAGGAGTCCAGCGCCCCAACCATCATACCACCTGCTGGCCCCAAAATTTTATAGTTTTAAACACATCAAAAAAAATGAAGGAACTGGGTCGGTAAATGCCATAGTGGTTAAAGTGGGTGAACGCTACAGGGCCGACTTATAAGTTTGAGTCCTAGACCTGGGAGCTCGAAAAACACACCAGGTGTAGGCGTGTATAACTGCGAGCCCCAAATCCCAAGAGAATGGAGAAGGGACTGTGGCATGGCCATGCTCCCTGAGCAGTGCTTTCTCACTATAATTCT